TGAAGTTTTGAGATCAGCAACTTTGTTATTCTTTTTCAAATATTGTTTTGGCTATTCTGGGTCCCTTGTATTTCCCTGTGAATTTTAGGATCAGGTTGTCCATTTCTGCAAAAACGCCAGCTGGAATTTTGATGGGGATTACATTGAGTTTTCAGGAATTTTGATGGGGATTGTATTGAGTTTTTGGATCTGTTTGGCGAGTATTGCTGTCTTAACCTTACGAAATCATCCGGTCCATGAACACGGGATGGCTGCTTATTTATTTAGGCTGTCTTTAATTTCTTTGGCCAATGTTTTACAGTTTTCAGAGTATAAGCTTGATACTTCCTTTGTTAAATTTATTGTGCAATATTTTATTTTTTGATGCTATTGTAAATTATTTTTTTTTTTTTTTTTTTTTTTTTGAGACGGAGTCTGGCTCTGTCGCCCGGGCTGGAGTGCAGTGGCTGGATCTCAGCTCACTGCAAGCTCCGCCCCCCGGGTTTACGCCATTCTCCTGCCTCAGCCTCCCGAGTAGCTGGGACTAGGGGCCCGCCACCTCGCCCGGCTAGTTTTTTGTATTTTTTAGTAGAGACGGGGTTTCACCGTGTTAGCCAGGATGGTCTCGATCTCCTGACCTCGTGATCCGCCCGTCTCGGCCTCCCAAAGTGCTGGGATTACAGGCTTGAGCCACCGCACCCGGCTGTAAATTATTTTCTTAATTTCATTTTCAGTTTGTGCATGACTCCTGGTTAGAAATACAACTGATGTTTGCATATTGATCTTGTACCCTACAATTGTGCTGAATTCGTCTATTAGCTCTAATAGTTTTTGTGGATTCTTTTTTAAAATTTTATTTTCTATAGAGATAGGGTCTCACTATGTTGTCCAGGCTGGTCTTGAACTCCTGGACTCAAGTGATCCACGTGCTTCGACCTCCCAAAGTGCTTGGATTACAGGCATGAGCTACGGTGCTCAGCCAATTTTTGTGGATTCTGTGGGATTTTCTATATACAAGATTATGACACCTGCAAAAAGAGATGATTTACTTCTCTCTTTCTGATCTGGGCGTCTTATTTCATCTGCTTGCCTGTTTGCTCGGTGAGAGCCTCTGGTACCGTGTTGAGTGGCAGTGGTGAGAGTGGACATCCTCGTCTTATTCTTGATTTCAGGGGGAGCGTCCAGTCTTTCTTCTTGCATATGAGGTTAGCTGCGGGGTTTTGTAGATGCCGCTTTTCAGGTTAGGTTTCCTTCTGTTCTGTTATTGAGTGGGTTTTCCATTCTGTTTATCATGAAATGGTGCTGGATTTGTCTGGTGCTTTTTCTGCATCTATTGAGAAATCTTAGGGTTTTTGTCCTGCCACACTCCCTCTTACAAAACCTGAGGAATCAGCTGGGCATGGTGGCTCACACCTGAAATCCCAGCGCTTTGGGAGGCCAAGGTACTTGAGCCCAAGAGTTCAAGACCAGCCGGGGCAACATAGGGAGACCCCATCTCCACAAAAAGTAAAAAACAATAAACCAAAAACCCTTAGAAACCTGAAATGGAAAACACACTGACTTCAGGATTTTGTTGAAGGAATGGTGGGCCTGGGCTAAGGCCCTGTTCTGGGTTGTAGAAAGGGTCATCTGAAAAAATAATGCGTCGCTGTTCCGCAGCCCCTGGGAGGAGGTGGCCCACCCGGAGAGTCAGCTGCTGTGTCCTGGTGTGTGTGTGCCTTCAGCTGCTGAGCTGCTCGTTCTGAAATGATGGGACACCTACCAGGTCTGCCTGGGCCCTGAGAGCCAGCGAGTGCAGCCCTCGGCCTCTGCCCGTGGTTTCCAGCAGCTAGATGACATGGACACTGAGTCAGCTGGTGGCAGGGGAGGGTCGCTGAGGGCGTGTGGTGGCAGCCCAGGCTCCCTTCCTGCCTGTGTCCACTGCATTCCCAACGGTCACAGCGAAAGTGCGGGATGCATGTGAATTCATCTGCTTCCCACGGTGCTGGTGTCTGGGTTTTACCGGGAAGAACAAGGCTGTAGTGCTGCCGGAGGTGAGCGGTGTGGCCTGTTGTGGCTCAGGGCCCACTGTCAAGTGCTGGTCTAGAGGTTTTGCCCTTGGCCATGCTCCCCAGTGAAGACACTGGGGTTAAACCCTGGCCAGGGTCAGGGGTCATGCTGAGGACTGAGTGCAGGAGGGAGGCTCCAGCTGTGCCCGGTCTCTGGTCTCCTTGGGAGTGAGAGGCTGGTTGGCAGTGATGATTTCGCAGGACTTGCAGTGACCTTTGTCCAGAGGCACCACCTCTGAGGGGCTGCTGTGGGCTGGATAGCAGGCGCTTCTGCCGGTTTCTGCATCCTGGAAGTGCTGCTGTTTGTACGGGATGAGGTAGGGGCCATCTGAGCCTGTGAGGTCCCTTCTCCCCAGCAGCGGAGCATGTGCTTAGGAAGGACCTGCCAGGTGCCCCTGCCCTCGGAGGCTCTGGGAGAGAGCTGTGTGCCAGCCCTGGGCAGGAGCTCACTGGCCTGGTCGTGTGACCTGTGGGGCACCCTGACAGCCAGCCCTGTGCTGCAGAGGTCAGTGGGACTGGGTTTGGATCTAGGGCCCCGCCCCAGCGTGAAAGGGCGCTGGACCACGAAGGCAGGGAGACCAGGGGGAGGCCGGCAGGACAGTCGGTGGCCCCGCTGCCGCAGCCCGGTGCAGGCTTAGACCGCACAGCCTCGGAATGAGCGCCGCTGGGGGCGGAGGCCGCGCCCGGGGGCGGGGCTGGCCGCTGGGGGCGGAGCGGGGCGGGGCGGGCCGCTGGGGGCGGAGCGGGGCGGGCCGCTGGGGCGGGGCCCAGCTTGTCGCCCTTTCCCAGAGGCCGGCAGATGCGCGTGGTGCGGCTGCTGCGGCTCCGGGCGGCTCTGACGCTGCTCGGGGAGGTCCCCCGCCGCCCGGCCTCCCGGGGCGTCCCAGGCTCGCGCAGGACGCAGAAGGGCAGTGGAACCAGGTAAGGCGGCCCATTGAGCAGGCGGCGAGGGCCCTGAGCACCGGGCTGGGTTAGGTCCAGAAAGGGGAGTGACAGGCCTCGTGGGACGGCCTTGCCCTGCTTCCGGTTTTCCCAAAAGTCGGGCCGGGAGAGCATGCCTGCCGCGGTGTGAGCGGCCCGCCTCCTGCCCGGGGTGTGCAGGCCCCCCGTGACGTCACCCCTCCTTCCCCAGGCACCAGCCCACCAACCCTGTTTGGGGAAATCTCCCCCCTTTTTTTGGCTTGCGGTTTCATCATTTGTGTAGCTGTGCCTGGGCCTCAGCGCTGTAGGGTTTGGTCAGGTACTTTATAAAAAGCTTCTGTTGCTGTGCCTGGTCTTCTGAGACCCGCCCTTTCCTGGAGTCGGTTCCCGGGTTGTCTCCAGGACGATTTTGCATGACCCTGGCACTCACTGTCGTATCTACATCACCAGGCACACGCCGCATGGATCCAGTGGCCCTGGTGGCCGTTCGTGGTCCCAGGCGCTTTCCTGGGGGACATGTGAGAAGCCCTGCCGGCGCATACTGGGCCTGGGGTAGCCGCATGGGGTTGGGTCTCTGCGCACGAAATGCTGGAGGTTTCGGAAGAGCTGGAGAGTTGACAGCCTCACTGGTGCGTGGAGATCCTGCAGGAGTTTCCGCAAGTGGGTTCACCGTCATTCACTTGGTGCTTCCAGCGTGGTGTGTCTCTGTGGCCTGGTGGTGCGTTGTCACCATATCCGTTCACAGCTGAGGGCCTGCACAGCTGCCCAAGGCCATGCCGCAGAAATGTCCTGTCTGCCTCCAGGATCTTGGGACCCAAGAGAGCCCAGATGGGGGAGGGCATCTTGGGAGGAGGGAGTTCTGGCCTGCCCTGGAGCTGGGGCTGGCTGTGGGCCCTGCACTGAGGTGCATCTCTCTGAGGGTGCACAGGCATGTAGGTGCTTTCCAAAAAGTGCTGCTGGGCTGCAGTCACCCAGGTGGAAAGGTGGGTTTGGAGCAAGGTCTCCCTTTGAAAGCCAGCTTGCGTCTGATGGTGGTGCTTGGTACGCGGGTCTCTGCAGGGGTGAAAGAATGTCTCTACAACGTGCACAACGTGCAACGCTCAGTTGGGCTTGAGCACACCCAGCACTGCAGCCCTGCCTGGCTGCTGGCCTGCAAGTTGTTTCAACTCAGTGTCTTCATCTGTGAAATGAGACTGTTGGTGTGATTACCCTAGAGGCTTTGTGTTACTGTCAGTCAGTTCTTTATTTTTATTATTATTATTATTTCTTGAGACTTGCCCTGTCACCCAGGCTGGAGTGCAGTGGTGCAATTTCAGCTCACTGCAACCTCTACCTCCTGGGTTCAAGTGATTCTCCTGCCTCAGCCTCCTGAGTAGCTAGGATTACAGGCGCCAGCCACCACACCTAGCTAATTTTTGTATTTTTAGTAGAGATGGGGTTTCGCCATGTTAGCCATGCAGATCTCGAACTCCTAGCCTCAAGTGATCCACCGACCTCAACCTCCCAAAGTGCTGGGATCACAGGCTTGAGCCACCACGCCCGGCTCCTATCAGTCAGTTCTGAGATACCTGTGGTTTCACATTTTCTCACACCCTGATTCTCTAAGAAGGCGTTGTCTAGGTTAAGAGGGCGAGGTCTAGGTTTCATTCTTCAGGGTACTTAGTGATGCCGCCTCCTATCAGCCCCACCCTAGACATGCTGTATTAGGGCTGCTGGGCTCTCTTGAACTCCTAAAACCTGTAAGAAAGGTGAGGCTGGTCTCACCTGACATGGAAAAGCTCTGCAGAGTCAGCAGAACCCCCCTTCCCCCGACTCTTCCCCCAGACTCCAGCTGCCTGCAGTATCTGCCAGCTAGCTTTTTGTACTTTCACCATGTTGGCCAGGCTGGCCTTGAGCTGCTGAGCCTGCCTCAGCCTCCCAAAGTGCTGGGATTACAGGCGTGAGCTACCACGCTGGGCTCCACCCTGGAAGGTTCTTGAGCCGGTTAACTTCTCCCTACTTTATCACCTCTGCCTCTGGCCCTTCTAACCCTGCCCATTCCCTCCTCTGCAGAGACAGCCAGAAAGGCCCTTTCAGAAATGTCAGTGGCACATGCTTTCCTCTCTCAGACCCTTCAGAGACTTCCTGTTGCTCTGAGGACACTCATCCCAGCCGAACAGGCCCACCAGGCCCCTGACAGCACTACCTGGCTGGGGTCACGTGCGGGTCTCCTGGCTCTGGCAGGTGGGGGTGTGATCTGGAACCTTCTGTCCTTGTGCGTCTGGGGGAGGCTCAGAAGGTGTGTCCATCTCACTCTCCCCCACCCTGATGGCGCTCCCACCCTCCCACCAAAGCCTCTCCCACTGAGGCCTTTGCACTGGCCATCCTAGATGCTGGGCTCGCTCTTTCCTCAGCCCTGCTGACTGAGCCTGCCCACTGCCTGCCAGCCATGCCCCGTCTCGCTCCTCTCCTCCCAGGCCCCTCTCAGTGTCTGGGTTCAGTTGAGCCCTTTCTGCGAGGCAGTGCTGGCTCAGGGCGGGCTCAGGGCTGGCTCAGGGCGGGCTTGGGCTTGGGCTTGGCTGGAGCCTCAATGGATAGACAATGACTGGCCTGGAGAGTTAGGATGGGCTGTAGCCACCATGCTGGCTGTGTCCCCGTCCTCCGCCCCCAATCTCCAGAGCTGAGCTTGCCAGGCCGGGATGCCCTGGGGAGGGGGAGGAGGGGGACCTTGGCAGGGAGCCCTGTGGAGCCTCATTGTGTTAGTGCATTGCAAGCCCTCCCCCACGCCCAACAGGAACCCTTCCCTGAAAACCCCTGAGGCTTCTGGCTTCAGGGCCTCCCCTCCCTGCCCGGCCTCCTCCACCCTGCCCGATCCTCTGTGGGTGGCGGTCCTGCGCCCTGCTGTGGTGCCTCTCCACTGGCTGCACTGCTGGCCCCCTCCACCCAGCTCCTGGGAGGCAGGGCTGTCTCGTAAGCAGCCAGGTCCTTTATTTAGCTAATGAAACGGTCCCATGGAGAGGTTCCGGAGGACTCTAGAGCGGCTCTGAAGGGACCCATCTGGGGAGAGGCCCTAGAGCCTGGGAGAGGCACGTTGCCTTACCCTTCCCCGCTTAGCCGGGCTTGGTGGGATCCGTGACTCAGCAGCGCACGGGCCGCTGTGGGTGGGGCACGGGCGGGTGCACAGGCACGGGGCTCAGGTCAGGGGGGGTTGCCTCCCTCTGCAGGCCTTGTTTCCCCCCGCCCCCCCCCCGCCCCCCCGCGCCCCCGCGCCCGGCGCCCCGATGAGATGGAGCCACCGCCCCCTTACTGGGAGCCACAGGGAGGAGCCACCATGGGAGGGGGGAAGAGGCTCACACTGGGCCTGGCCCAGGAGAGTGACACGTGCTGTCTCCATCTTTAGGTGGGAGGAGGAGAAGCGCGAAGACAGGGTGAAGTGGAGACAGCTGGAGCACAAGGGCCCGTACTTCGCACCCCCATACGAGCCCCTTCCCAATGGAGTGTGTTTCTTCTATGACGGTGAGGACGCAGGGAGCGGCTCCTCGCCGGCCTGTGCTTGGCTCCCTGGGCGTGGGTTCCCAGTGGGCATCTGGCTCCCTCAACGCCGCTGCAGGCTTCTGGCTATGAGCGCTCCGTGCCCTCTTCTTGCAAGTGATGCGTGGGGGCTGCTGACCGACTGACCCGTGCTCGGAGGGCAGCAGCTCAGGGGCTCCTGTCCCTGCCTTTCCTGCTGAACTTGCACTGGCTGTGCCTGTTGTGTCCAGGGCAGGCTGTGCCTGTTGTGTCCAGGACCTGCTGGGCAAGGCCCACCCTCCCTCCCTCCCCTGCACCACTGTGTTCCCTGTGTGTTCTGAGTATACACAGTATGTGCACTGTGTGTACGCCTGTGGATCACAGAATGGTCACTTGATCCCAGCTTGTGATTCTCAGCAAGAAGCGGAGCTCGTGATCCACATGAGCGCTGAGCCACCCTCAGAGGCAGGACCCCGGGGGCTCTGGGTCAGCAGGGCCCAGTGCAGGACCCACCCCTCCTGCCCTTGAGCCCTGCTGTCTGCCCCAGGGCCGAGGAGCTTCGGCTTGGCTCTTGTGCTGCTGATTTTAGCTGCTTCAGCCCATTTTCTTCATCTCTGCTAGAAGGCATCCTTCTAAGAAAAGCAAACCTCTTCTCCCCCAGGGCGGGCCCCCACACCGTGCTGTGCCCCTCCTGCCAGCCCTCCCGTGGGCCCCCTGCCGGGTCACAGGCACACCTCAGTTCGCTGAGCTGCTTTGATGCCATTTTTTGTTCATAGCCTGTTTCTCCGAAGCTGGACTGGAGATTCCACAGGGACAGAGGTTCTAGCTGTGTCTGTGGGGGCTGCCCACAGGAGGCCACGGGGCCTTACTGAGCGTCTCACGCTGTGCCCCTGGCCCAGTGTAGCGGCCGCCTCGCCCGCCCCAGAGCGGCCCTGCAGGACCTCCCTGGCCAGGAGGGATGTGGCGGGCGAGGACTACCCGTGCAGGGCCATGGCAGGCAGTCCGGGGAGCAGTGGTGTCACGTGGGGCCCAGTGGGGCCGAGCCTCCACAGAGGGGCAGCGGGAACTGAGCCCCTCCGGCCTGTGCTGCTGGCCTCTGGGCCTCTCGTCCTCTGTCCTGAGAGGCTAGTTATCAGGAATACCTTCTTCCTTGTTACCAAATGATTATGCCTTTATTTCTCTAAAATTTTCTTATGAAAACTTTTTAGACACGCAGTTGGAAGAATTCCTGGTGAACACCCTCATTCCCACCAGGAGCCTCTCGCTCTGCTCACCTGGCCCCAGCTCACCCCCTGCATCTCTAAACCATACCGATCTTAGAAGAAAACGCAGGGACTGGTGGGACAGAGGCTGGCAGAGTTTTACAAGGTTACACTTACAGTTATTCCGTTTTCTGCTTTGAAGCGTTAACTTTTATTTTGCTTCCATAATTTTGTAGAGATTGGTGTGTTTTAAAATTGTACGTGTTCCATTTTCATGTAATATAAATGTAGTAGCAAAGTAAAGTGCTAAAGGAGAAGAAATCAGTAGCACCGAAACCTGCAGCGTTTTCACCACCCACTCCAAGATCACTGCGGTCGTCACCTCCACGCAGGGTGACTGTCGTTTGTCATGTAGAACACGCTGCTGAACTTACGGAATAAGGCCTAGCTTCTTGCTCTTGGCATAGTACGCACGACAGCGTCGTTTAAAGCAATGAAGTCATGTCAGCTGGAGGCCAAGCCTGTGGCCGCTCTCTCGTGTGATGTGTCTTTTGATGCCTGCAGGAAAGCCCATGAGATTGAGCGTGAAAGCGGAGGAGGTGGCCACTTTTTATGGGAGGATGTTGGATCATGAATACACGACAAAGGAGGTTTTCCGGAAGAACTTCTTTAATGACTGGCGAAAGGTAGGTACCCTGGGCGGCCGCCACAGCTGTCCTGGACCTGGCTGGCCAGGCCCCTGAGGTTCTGCAGTGCCGCCTCTGGACGCCCCTTGCAAGTTCCCGGTGCCGCTGCGTGGCCACTCACTTCGAGCTCCTGGGCTCAAGCCATCCTCCTGTCTCGGCCTCCTGAGTAGCTGGGACCATAGGCGGTGCCAGCGTGCCCGGCCTAGTGCACCTCAGACCTTTCCTTTCTCAGGCAGGCCGTGGGTGTGGAGCCGGATTGGCGGTAGCCTGACTCCATGGACCGCTGAAAGGACAGGGGTCTGGCATGTAAGAGGGAGAGTGGAGGAGGCCACTGCCATTTCCCAGCCCCCGGGAAGACAGGTTTGGTGAGAAGCTCTTTGGAGGGGAGGGTGCTGCCTCAAGGTTTTTTCCTTGCTCATTTTCAAGGTGACTGCCCTTCGCCCATGGCCTGACTGGTTTCATGTGTGTGCCGTGGGCTTTGTGCCCTGCGGGGTTTCTGTCGGCACCACACCTGCAAGACTCGCCCCTGACTTGCTGTCCCACGGCTTCTGCCTGCCTCTGGCCGGGTCCCGTTTCCTGCGTCGTGTGACTCGTGCTAGTCCATTTCCCTGTTCGTGGGTGTTTGATTAATTCCTGTTTTTGGTCTTTGCGTGTGTAAAGCTGCCACGAACATTCCCACAGGACTTAGGGGTGAAGTTGTTGGGTCACGGGCTACATGTGTGTCCAGCTTACTGGAAACGCCAGGCTGAACTGTCCACAGCCTGCCACGGGTGTGAGGCGCCTCTCTAGTGGGCACGAGGTGACACCTCACCGTGGGTATGGTTTGCGTTTCCCTAATGAGAAGTGATATTTAAGCATCTTTTGGTGTCCCGATGTGTCATTTCAGTATTTTCGTTTGTGAACTTCTGTCTGTTTAAAAAATTGAGTTGCTTGCATGTTCCTTGCTAATTTATCGGAGTTCTGAAAATGCATTCTGGATGCAGCTTCTTTGCCAGTTGCATGTGCTGTGATATCATCTCCCAGACTTTGCCTTTTCGTTTCTCAGTGAGGTCTCCAAGCAGAAAATGTTAACTTAGTTATTGAGTTTATCAGCCTCTTTTATGGTGAGTACTTTTGTGTCCTGTTTTAAGTCCATTATCAGAAATAGGATTTGTAAAACTTTTTCGTGGTGTTTGTAGTTTATATTTGCATTCTCTTAACAATGTCTTTGGAAGGTCAGGAGTTTGGAATACTGACTAGGTCCCGTGTATCATGTTTTGTCACAGGTTGTGCTTTTGTTGTTTTGTCTAAGAAATATGCTTAATTCAGCAGCACAAAGATTTCCTCCTATGTTTTTCCCAGAAGTCTTGGTTTTAGGTTTCCATTGAGGTCGGCTTAGTTTAGGTGGAACTCTGAGTTAATTTTGGTTACTGTGTGGGGTAGAGGCCGAGGCTCGTGCTTTGCATGTGGGTGTCTGACTGCCCCGAGCCAGCTTCTGGAGCCTGTGCTTCCTTGTGCCCTGTGTGGGCCCTGCTTCTGGACCCTCTTCCTCTGTCCTGATGCCACCCCTCTGCCTGGCACCACAGCTTGGTGAGGTGGCGCCAGCTGCCCGGTGTCCTCACTCCCCTCCCGGTCAGCACTTCTAGTCACTAGCAGAGCTAGGAAGGGAGGCAGTGTCGCAAGGCAGCAGAACTGGAATGGGCGGTAGATCCGAGGGCCCTGGGAGACACAGGGACAGACCTGAGCCCGCGGTTGTGGCCGAGCAGGGCTCCGTCCGGCACAGATGGTCGATCCGAGGGCCCCGGGAGACACAGGGACAGACCTGAGCCCGCGGTTGTGGCCGAGCAGGGCTCCGTCCGGCACAGACGGTAGATCCGAGGGCCCCGGGAGACACAGGGACAGACCTGAGCCCGCGGTTGTGGCCGAGCAGGGCTCCGTCCGGCACAGATGGTGTCGCATCTGAGCTCCTCGGCAGAGGCGGGTCGTCCCCATCCCACAGTGAGACACGGTTTAGCAGCAGCTCCTGAGGTCTCACACGCCTGAGTGGCCGAGCCTGGACTGGGACCGTGAGCTGGTGCCCGCAAGCCTGGGCTTTTGGCCATGGGCTGTACAGAGTTTTTGTTGTGTAGGAAATGAGAGGAGAAACAGTTGCCTGTGACCTGCGGCTCTCCCTCAGGTCAGCGTCTCCTGTTCCCGTGTCCTGGCTTCTCCTGGGCACTAGTTTTCGTGAGAGTGTGATCAGTGTGCATGTAATGTTTTCCCCACTCGGTATTTTATCCTGCTTAGTCTCCACACGGGTAGATCATCATCAAACTGTTTTCTTCTGTGGTTTCCAAAATTCACCTTGAAACTGAATCCCCAGCGCCACAGGACAGAGGTAGGGCCTTCAGGAGCTGATTGGGCTGTGAGGACACTGCCTTGCTGCAGCCCTTAGGATTAATTTAGGGCCTTAGGGCAGGGCTGGGTGGAATTAGCTGGGCCCCTTCTGTCCTTCTGTCCCCGCTCCACTGCGTGAGGACAGCCTTCAGGGCACCCTCTCAGAAGCAGGGACTGGGTCCTCCACAGACATCAAATGCCGGGGCCCTGGTCCCAGCCTTCCAGCCCCCAGAGCTGTGACTGTGGTTTATCACTGACCCATCCCGGGGATTTCGTTGCAGCAGCATGTATGGACTGAGACTTTGGCCTCCTGAATCCCATCACGTTCACCAAATGAGCTCCCCATCGTTTATCCCGCTCTGTCTGGTCATGGCGTTTCTGCTATTGCCCTTAGTGCCATCGTCATGCTCGTTTTCATACGGGAGAGTTTACTTAGGATGGATCTCAAAGTGGAATTACTGAGTCAAAGGTTTTAGCCAGTTTTACTCCTGACTTGTTGTGAAGTTGCTTTTGGAGAACTGTGCCCTCGGCTGCTCCACCCCACTCCACCCCTGCAACAACAGACCCAGCTCTAACTGTGGGGTCTGCGGGGAGAGGCTCTGTTCACGGGACCGCAGGCCTGCACAGGTTCTGCCCGTCGCACGCACGCCTCCGTCAGACATGGTGAGTGCGTGTCTGTGGTTTGTGCAGGAAATGACAGCGGAAGAGAGAGAAGTCATCAAGAGCCTGGACAAGTGTGACTTCACGGAGATCCACAGATACTTTGTGGACAAGGCCGCAGCCCGGAGAGTCCTGACCAGGGAGGAGAAGCAGGTTGGGCTGACTCGAGCGTTGTGTGACCCAAAGTGGCCCCTGGGAATGAGAGGCCAGTCTGGCCCGAAGGCTGAGAAAGTCCTGTGACCTTAGAGAAGCCCCTTCTCACAAAGCTGCTCTTGGCTCGGCAGCCTTAGTGCCCCTGCGTGTGCTGAAGTGTCGTTCCGCTTCCCCAGAGCACATTTGAGAGTAAACCCAGTTTGAAATGGATGAGTGATTTACCATCATTGATAAAGGGTGGGTTCCCAGACGGGTTGTGGGCTGGGGGCGGGGCTTGTGCAGGCCAGTCGGCTTCTCGCTGTTCTGTGCCATGCGTCTCCCTACATCTAACAGGAACCTGCTGTGCTGTGATCTCCATGTGGCCTTCTCAGGGATTCCCTTAGCCCTCCTCCTCCATGGCGGGCAGCCATGCTCCCTCCCCCTGGCTTTACTGCTCAGGCCTAAAACAGCCGAAGCCTGCGCAGGGGCGGGGAGTCCAGACCATGGGGTGGTTGGGCCGTGGCTCCTGGTGCCCCCTGTGTGCCCACCTGCACTGTCCCTTGCCCCTGCGACCTCCATGGATTGTGAAGGGCTTTGAGGGCCCAGCTGAGTTAGCCAGAGCAGGGTGGTCCCAGGTGAGCAACAAGGGACTGAGGCCTGTCCTCTTCTCTTCACTGCTAATGTCTACTGACTGTTTTATTAACTCAGAAGCTAAAAGAAGAGGCCGAAAAACTTCAGCAAGAGTTCGGCTACTGTATTTTAGATGGTCACCGAGAAAAAATAGGCAATTTCAAGACTGAGCCGCCCGGCTTGTTCCGTGGCCGTGGCGACCATCCCAAGATGGGGATGTTGAAGAGGAGGGTCATGCCGGAGGATGTGGTCATCAACTGCAGCAGGTACGTGGCCGGGCGGGCAGCAGGCAGGTGCTGGATCCCTGCCACCTGGGTGAGTCTGGCTTTTCTTCACCTCCTGGGAGAGGGAGGCACACTGAGAAACGTGTGGCTGGTGACCCCCACACCATTCCTGTGGAGCTCAGCCTGCGGGTGTGGCCGGGCAAGGGCGGCCCTCCCAGGGTGCTTACCACGGGGTCAGAAGTCCTCGCCTTGCTGTGGCTGAGACTTTCTCCTGCCAAGGACACCCCCGTGTGGTTTTCGTATCCCACACCATCTGGACGGCCCAGTAGCATTAGGTGTTTTGAACTTGTTGGAGGGACATTCCAAGTAGTGGAGAGGGGACTGCTGGGCCGCCTGTTGTACCGTGTGACCGCAGTGTGGAGTAGGGACCCTGCCTGCAGGACCTCCAGCGGCCAGGCTGTGTGGAGCAGGGCACTCTTCATCCCAGTTGGTGCTGAGAGGTTTGAACAGAGCGATCCCTTGCTTGGGTGGCCGCCCAGCCTCCTGGTGCACCGTGGCCTTCCTGTGTGTGCAGAGCGCAGATTGAGCGGCTGCTTTTGTCTGAGCTGCCAGGCAGGCCACCTCTGATGCCAGACTCGGTCAGGAGCCATGCCACTACCATGGCCACCAGGTGGGATGGTTGAGCAGAGCAGCTCCTTTTGCTTGCATTCCAGAGAATAAGGTCTCCAAGTTATGTTTGTGTCATTGTTCTGCTGCAGGGACTCGAAGATCCCCAAGCCACCGGCGGGGCACCAGTGGAAGGAGGTGCGCTCCGATAACACTGTCATGTGGCTGGCAGCGTGGACCGAGAGCATTCAGAACTCCATCAAGTACGTCATGCTGAACCCTTGCTCGAAGCTGAAGGTGAGCGCGGGGCTCAGCGGGGCGTTTCCTCCCCAGGAGGTCTCCCTTAGGACGCTGGCAGGGAGGTTTGTAAGCCGGGCACCGGCAGAGGCTTCTGAGATGGGCTGGGAGTTGGCCAGCCCGCGCTGAGGTCATGCTGTGCCAGCAGCCACAAGCCCCAAAGCCAGGAGTGGACGTGGGTGCTCACTGCCAGCATCACCCAGCTGGATTTGCTGCCCCAGCCCCTGACCACTCCACCATCGAGTGGAGAAGCACGAGGTTTGGGGCAGGGAGAGTTGACAGCCTCCTCCATTATTTAACAGGAATACGAATGTTTTCTTTCCTGTTATTTTTTTCATTTAGGGGGAGAAAGCTTGGCAGAAGTTTGAAACAGCTCGACGCCTGCGGGGATTTGTGGACGAGATCCGCTCCCAGTACCGGGCTGATTGGAAGTCTCAGGAAATGAAGACGAGACAGCGGGCGGTGGCCCTGTATTTCATCGATAAGGTACGCGGCCTTCTCGCCTCCTGGGGCTCCTCATTCTGGCTCTCCTGGCGAGGACACCCAGTTGGATGGCACAGTGTGGCGATGTGGGCCTGTGTGTGGGGTGGAACTGCAGTCTGATGGGGGTGTGTGTGCGTGTGCACATGTGTGTGGGTGTGAATGTGTGTAGGGTGTGCATGTGCATTGTGTGGTGTATGTGCACGTGCGTGTGGTGTGTCTGTGTGTGGTGTGCATGCGTGTGGCGTGCATGCGTGTGGCGTGCATGCGTGTGGCGTGCCTGTGTGTGGCGTGCCTGTGTGTGGTGTGAATGTGTGTGGCGTGCCTGTGTGTGGCGTGCATGTGTGTGGTGTGCATGTGTGGTGTGCATGTGTGTGGTGTGCATGTGTGGTGTGCATGCATGTGGCGTGCATGCGTGTGGCGTGCATGTGTGTGGTGTGCATGTGTGTGGCGTGCCTGTGTGTGGCGTGAATGTGTGTGGCGTGCGTGTGTGGCGTGCATGTGTGTGGCGTGAATCTGTGTGGCGTGAATGTGTGTGGTGTGCCTGTGTGTGGCGTGCCTGTGTGTGGTGTGCATGTGTGTGGTGTGCATGTGTGTGGTGTGCATGTGCATGCACCACCCACTTTGTTCCCCACCTAATAGCTGGCGCTGAGAGCGGGAAATGAGAAGGAGGACGGTGAGGCAGCCGACACCGTGGGCTGCTGTTCTCTCCGCGTGGAGCACGTCCAGCTGCACCCGGAGGCCGACGGCTGCCAGCACGTGGTGGAATTTGACTTCCCGGGGAAGGACTCCATCCGCTACTACAACAGAGTCCCGGTGGAGAAGCCTGTAAGTGCCCTCGCGGCCGGCTGCTCCTCCCTACGTGACACGTATTTGCTCTGGATGTCTTTGGGGTCGTGCCAGAGCTGCCGTGGGGTCTGTGGCCCATTTGCCACGTCCTGTCTGCTGGGTGAGGCCCGCTGTGCTGGGGCTGATGAGGGTGAGGGTGAAGGAGAGGCTATGCCCCATGGTAGACCCAAGGGGTCACAAGGGAGCTGGTCGGGGGCTGAGCAGGGTGCCTCTGTCACACCAGCTTTGTCTCCTGCCCCCCGGCTGGAGCATCTCCCAGGGCTGCTGGAGGAACACAGTGCAGACCCAGTGGTTTAACAACAGACATTTATTGTCGCTCAGTCCTGGGGGCCAGAGTCCGAGTCAAGGTGCCGGCAGAGCCGCACTCTACCCACACTCGGGGAGGATCCTCCTGCCTTCCCAGCGTCCGGTGGGGCCGCGGATCCTGGGTGTCCTTGGTCTGAGGCTGCCTCTCGCTGCGTCTCTGCCTCTGTGTCTTCTCACAAGGACGCTGTCGTATGGGAGTTAGGGCCCACCCCACTCTTTCTATGTGTTCGTCATAACAGTCTCTGAAGACTCTATTTTTAAATAAGGTCACGTTCTGGCCTGGCATGGTGGTGCACTCCTGTAATTCCAGTGCTGTGGGAGGCTGAGGGGGGAGGATCACTTGAGCCCAGGAGTTTGAGACCACCTGGGCAACATAATGAGATCCTGTCTCTAAAATAATAATTAAAAAAACAGCCGAGCACGGTGGCTCACGCCGGTAATCCCAGCACTTTGGGAGGCCGAGGTGGGCGGATCACAAGGTCAGGAGATCGAGACCCTCCTGGTCAACATGGTGAAACCCTGTCTCTACTAAAAATACAATAAATTAGCCGGGCGTGGTGTCAGGAGCCTGTAGTCCCAACTGCTCGGGAGGCTGAGGCAGGAGAATAGCGTGAACCCGGGAGGCAGAGCTTGCAGTGAACTGAGATCGTGCCATTGCACTCCAGCCTGGGCGACAGCAAGACTCTGTCTCAAAATAAATAAATAAAAATTAGCTGCACGTGATGGTGCATGCTTGTGGTCCCAGTTACTCCAGAGGCTGAGGTGGGGGAGGATTGCTTGAGCCTGGGAGGTTGAGGCTGTGGTGAGCCTTGATCACTCCACTGTACTCCTGCCTGGGTGACAAAATGAGACCCTGTCTTTTTTTTTTTTTTTTTTTTTTTTTTTTTTTTTTTTTTTTTTTTTTTTTTTCAGGCTTGAGCCACCGCGCCCGGCCTTTTTTTTTTTTTTTTTTTTTTTGAGACAGAGTCTCGTGCTGTTGCCCAGGCTAGAGTGCAGTGGTGTGATCTCAGCTCACTGCAACCTCCACCTCCTGGGTTAAAGCGATTCTCCTGCTCGAGTAGCTGGGACTACAGGCGCCGCCACCATGCTCGGCTAATTTTTGTATTCTTAGTAGAGACAGGATTTCACCATGTTGGCCAGGCTGGTGTTGAACTCTTGACCTTGTGATCCACCCGCCTTAACCTCCCAAAGTGCTGGGATTACAGGCGTGAGCCACTGCAGCTGGCCGAGACCCTGTCTTAAAAAAATAAAAAAAGGTACATTCTGAGGTTCTGGTGAGGACACGAATTTGGGGGACACTTTTCACGCCAGTGCACCTGGGAGGGGCTGCCACCATGCCCGCTTTCCTCTGCTGCAGGGGCTATGGGCGGGATTTAAGCCTGTGGCTGCCCACCACCCCCACAGCCCCTCGCTCCACTAGCATCGATGCCCAGAGGTATGAGTGCGGTCGGGAAGGGCTGGGTAAATCTCTGGTCTCCAGACTGGCTTGAAGCAAGATTGGAATTTGGGGAGCATCCTCACCTTTGAATGGCTGTCCTGAAGAGTGATGCTATCCCCTCTCTGGGTGGGCACCACATCGCAGTGACGTTGGACAGATCCACGCACGACCTCCCTGAACCTCAAAAGCACAAATGTGACTCAGGCCGGGCGCAAGACCCATGCCTGTAGTCCAGACACCTTGGGAGGGCTAGGTGAGAGGATTGCTGGAGCCCAGGAGTTGGAGACTGCAGTGAGCTATGATCGTGCCACTGCACGCCAGCCCAAGTGACAGAGCCAGACCTAGTCTCCAAAAATTAAACAACAACAAAAAAGTAATGTGACCCCACTATGGGATGGGGTGGAGCCGTTCAAAAACAGAAATGGCAGCAGAGAAACAGGAGTCCCTGGCAGGGCCAGGCCTCAGGCAGTCTGGTCGGGAAGTCAGTCCTAAGGGATGAGTTAATTGGAGGTAGGAGACAAAAGCCAACACACAAAAGGAAGAGGTGAGGGGGCGCTCACTGCAGTGCCCCTGCCACGGTGAAGCGTCGGCCGCGGTGCAGGCCTGGACGGGGAGTCGCACTCCGTCCAGACAGGACTAGCCAGCCATTTACAGTGCTGTTGAGGGGAGCACTCGGTAATGGAATGCGTGTGGCCTAAAGAAAAGGCGGGACGTAAAGCCTCGTCAGGATCAGCGGTATGAAACCAAACGTGTGGAGGAGGATGAGGGAAGAAGCCGGAAGTCGGGAGCTGTGGGCCGGGGCTTCCCGCCGTGTCCCGGTGCCTGCGGGTTTGTCGAATGGGGTTCATCAGCTGTGGTACAAGGATGGTAAGGGGGTCGGCTGGGGGTGTGGGGCCTCCTGCCTGTGTCTGGTGAGGGAGGGCTGCCATGCCGGTGCTGGAGAGAGCAGTGCAGACGCCACAGCAACCTCCGCGCTGGAGCCGATGCCCAGCGCTCAGGGAGGACCAGCAGGTGAAACCAAGGGGAGGGCAGGCAGGTGCAGGCGCAGGCTGGTGTTTCCTCGGAGCAGAGTTGGTCTCGTCAGAAGGGATTGAGTGTCCTCTCCCCAAAGGGACTGGTGGAGGGAGGTTGGACACGGGCACCCCAAAGGTCCTGAGGTCCTGTGATGTCAGATGAGTGTCCCACATTACGAGGGTGTGGGGTCACCTGGTGGAAATCCGGCATGGATGGAAGAAGGAGCTGGGGACTCCGAGCCACCCGCCGCAGTCACCCAGGGGAACTAACTGCAGGGCAGGAGTTGCACCCACCTCCTGAGCACGCCGCCCGTACATGTGTTAGCGGTGACGGCCGCATTGGAGGGCAGGGGCCGTGTCGGGGGAGGATGCCGACAGGTGACAGTGATGCTGCTCGGGCCACCTTCCTCAGGGAAGCCTCCCGTGGGCTTCCAGGCTCTGCATAGATGCCCTTCATGCCCTCCCTTGATTCGGGTTTCTTCTGCCCTCTGAAATTCCTTCTTTCTCCTTCAGGTGTACAAGAACTTACAGCTCTTTATGAAGAACAAGGACCCCCAGGACGACCTCTTTGACAGGCTCACCGTAAGCCGGCTCGTGTTTCCTCAGCAGTGGGCGGTGGCAGGACCTGGCGAGAGGGTGTGGCTGCTGAGTCTGGCTCCATCTCTCATAGCAAGGCCCAGGGTTTGGCCTGACCCGACGGCTGAAATGCACTTTCCTTTCCATGGGAGGCTGGGACGGCCCCACAAAACCACGTAATTATAGAGACCATTTCCTCCCCAGACGACCAGCCTGAACAAACACCTCCACGAGCTGATGGACGGGCTGACGGCCAAGGTGTTCCGGACCTACAACGCCTCCGTCACTCTGCAGGAGCAGCTGCGGGCCCTGACACGTGGTGAGCAGGCCCCACACCCACACTCACGCCGGGGAGCGTGGCCCCTACCCCAGGCAGGGCTCCCCTGCTGGCCCTTGTTGAGTGAGCCTCGGGGTGGGGCCGCTTCTTTGGGAAATGGGCTGAGGCTGTGGGCTGGCTGCTTGGCGGCCTGGGTGGCCGGAGTCCTGGGGAGGAGGAGGGAAGTGCTGGCCCTCGGGACCTCAGGCATCCCAGCCATGTGCTCCCTGCGGGGAGCCCCTGCTGCTGAGGCGGTTGTTCCTCAGCTCCTCCTCAGGGTTCTTTCTTGAAGGCCCAGGAGGCCTCTGCACTTTCCGGTGGTTCTGCCCCTCCCGCCCTCAGCTGTCTGAGCACCCTGACCTCTGGGCCTCTGTCCGCAGCCCCTGCCTCAGTTTCTGTTCTTAGTCCCCTGCCATCAACCTGGGGAGGCCGTCCAAGCTCGGCGAGGGCCTCTCCTCCCTCTGCCCTTGGCGCTGCCCCTGCTCCGTGATGTCCGGGCTGCTCCGTGATGTCCGGGCTGCTCCGTGGTGATGTCCGGGCTGCTCCGTGATGTCCGGGCAGATCAGACGCACAGACTCGTCCAGAGGGTGCCTCCCACCCCGGTGCCCTCCGCATTCCCCAAGCAGGGCTTCCTGGAGGAGGCACCGAGTCTGGGCACTCAGGGGCACTGACGCTCGGCCTGTGTTTTGTGTGCACCCATGGGCCTCAGAGGCCGGTGCTGTGCTGCCCTGGGGACACCCCTGTGAGCTGGGGCAGCGTTGGGCTGTGGGATGTGAAGGAGCTAGCTGGCATCCAGGTGAGAGCCCCAGCAGAGATGCTCCCTCCACTGAGGGAGGCAGGAGATTCTGGGTGAGGACATAGGGGCCGAGGCTGGGCCTGGGAGAGGAAACGAAGGTGCTGGGCCCCCTGCGGACGTACTTCCAGAGCTGGGTGGGCTGTGCAGGAGGGGCGTGAAGGAGTGGCCGCTCCAGCAGGTGTCTGCGGCCAGTGCTTACGTTCTCTGAATCTCGTTCCTGACTGGAAAATGGAGACAACATGGTACCTTGAGGGGATGTTGCCAGGGAAACCAGGTGCTGGGGACTTGTGACAGGCAGGGCCCCACAGACTCACCTGTCCAGGTGGCTGGGCCTCCTCCTTGCTACAGGGCTTTGGAAGGCCTGGGTGGTGCTACCTGTGCTGTGGCCACACCCGAGGCCTTGCTGTGGTTAAAGACGCTGGGCCCTGCTCTCGGGGCCACCTCGGGGGGGTCACTGACCCTCGGCCCTCGCTCTCCCCATCCCAGCGGGTGCCTGTGTGAGTGGAAGGGGCTGTGCTGTGTGGCGCGTTGAGTAAGTCCGACTCAGGGCAGACAGGGAGGGCGGCTGTCCCATGGGTGCTGCTTCTGACAGCCCGTGCCTCTCAGCCGAGGACAGCATAGCAGCCAAGATCTTATCCTACAACCGAGCCAACCGAGCCGTGGCCATTCTCTGCAACCATCAGCGAGCGACCTCCAGCACGTTTGAGAAGTCGATGCAGAATCTCCAGACCAAGGTAGCAGCTCCCAGGAGAGCCCCCAGCCCAGCCCTCAAGGGACCCCTCCCCGCTTCCCGGAGCCTCGGCACAGGCCGGGGAGCGAGCCGCGGTGGGCATGGAGGGTGTGGGAGGGTGTGGGCGCAGCGGCTGGTGTGGGACAGGGAGGGGCAGCCCTGTCTGGACCCTTTCCCTGCAGATCCAGGTGAAGAAGGAGCAGGTGGCTGAGGCCAGGGCAGAGCTGAGGAAGGCCAGGGCCGAGCACAAAGCCCAAGGGGATGGCAAGTCCGGGAGGTGAGTACCCGTGACCTCAGACGCCGTCTCCCAGGGCCCTGTCCCAACCCAGATGTGGCAGCTTTGGACCCGCCTTCCCAAGGCCAGTTTTGTTTTCCTCTTCAATTGTTATTTTGTGATTTTTTATTTTTATAAAAACCTCCCAGGTTCAAGTGATTCCTACCTCAGCCTCCCAAGTAGCTGGGATTACAGGCGTGCACCACCATGCCCGGTTAATTCATTTATTTAGTAGAAACGGGTTTTCTCCATGTTGGCCAGGCTGGTCAAACTCCTGGCCTCAAGTGATCCTCCTGACTCGGCATCTCAAATGCTGGGATTACAGGCCTGAGCCACCGTGCCTGGCCAACTTTGTGATTTTTCAAAATACAAACTCTATGCCTTGTGGACAAGAGTGGGACATACGGAGCCATGGGAGGAGGAGACCCTGGCCGCTGAGGTTTGTGATTGTCTTTGTGGGGTCAGGAAATGAGAAGAAGGTGCCAGACTCTTCTCCAGGGCGGCGGCACCATCCCCTCCTCACCAGCAGCACGTGAGGGCCCCGACTCCTCTGTCCCGGCGCCACTGTAGGGTCAGTTTTCCATGTGTCGATCAGAGCCCAGTGGGTGTGAAGTGGGTCAGATCGCGGGTGCTCTTGGCAGGCGCTTGTTGCCCGTTTCTGTATCGTCTCTGGAGAATGACTGCTCAGATCCTCTGTCCATGTTTTGGTCGGGTGGTCACTTTATTACTGACCTGGCAGAGCTCGTCGATGTTTCTCCCACTCTTGGGTTGTCTTTGTTCTTTCTTTCTTTTTTTTCTTTTCCTTTGGAGACACAGTGTTGCTCTGTCGCCCAGGCTGGAGTGCAATGGTGTGATCTCGGCTCGCTGCAATCTCTGCCTCCCGGGTTCAAGCAATTCTCCTGCCTCAGGCTCCTGAGTAGCTGGGATTATAGGCGCCACTACCATGCCCAGCTAATTATTTGTATTTTAGTAGAGACGGGCTTTCACCGTGTTGCCCAGGCTGGTCTTGAACTCCTGAGCTCAGGCAGTCTGCCCGCCTCAGCCTCCCAAAGTGCTGGGATTACAGGCGTGAGTACCATGCCCAGCACCACCCCCCGTTTTTTTTTTTGAGATGGAGTCTTGCTCTGTCGCCGAGGCTAGAGTGCAGTGGCGCGATCTTGCCTCACTGCAACCTCTGCCTCCTGGGTTCAAGCAATTCTCCTGCCTCAGCCTCCCGAGTAGCTGGGACTACAGACACACACCACTGCACCTGGCTAATGTTTGTAATTCAGTAGAGATGGGGTTTCACCATATCAGTCAGGCTGGTCTTGAACTCCTGACCTCAGGTGATCCACCCACCTCGGCCTCCCAAAGTGCTGGGATTACAGGCATGAGCCACCATGCCCGGCAATGTCTTTGTTCTTTCTTGTTGGTGTCCTGTGACACATTTTAAGATTTGAATGAGTCCAGTTTATCTGTTTTTTTTTTTTTTTTCTTTTGTAGCTTATTTTTGTGTCATGTCCGAGAAGGCTTTACCTAACCCAAGGCCATGAAGATAGATTTCTCTGTTTTCTCCTAAGAGGTTTATAGGTTTACTCTTACATTTGGGTCATTGGTTCTGAGTTAATTTTTGTGTGTGATCTGAGGGAAGGGCCCAGGGTCATCCTCTTGTATGTGGACAGCCAGATGTCTCAGCCTCCTGAATAGCTGGGACCACAGGTGTGAACCGCCACACCTGGCTAACTTTTACACTAAGAAAATTTTTGTATGTTGCCCAAGCTACTCTTGAACTCCTGGCTTTAAGCAATTCTGCCTTGGCCTCCCAGAGCTCTGAGATTACAAGTATGAGCCACCGTGCCTGGCCCTTAGGACTGTATCTATAAAGGCCATATTGTATGCAAACAGAGATAGTTTTACTTCTTTTCCAATCATATGCCTTTTATTTCATATTTTTGCATTATGGACCTAGCAGGAATCTCCAGTACACTGGACATGAGTGGGACATCCTTGCCTTGTTCCTGATACTGGGGGCAAAATTCTCATGCTTTTATCACGGAATATGATGTTAACTGTAGGTTTTTCACAGAAGCTGTTTGTCAAGTTAACAAAATTTACTTCTATTCCTAGTTTGTTGAGGTCTTTTTTAATCATGAAGAGCATTGGATTTTGTCAAATGGTTTTTCTGCACCTGTTGAGATCTTGTTTTTGTCCCTTCCTTATATTGATAGGATGTATTATACTAATTGATGATCAGATGTGAAACCATCCTTGCATTCCTGGGATAAATCCTACTTGATCCTATTGTGTAATCATTTTTGTCCATTGCTGGATTCACTTTGCTGATATTTTGTTGAGGTTTTTGCTTCTGTATTCATGAGCATGTTAGTCTATAGTTTTCTTATGATGTCATTGATTTTGGTATCAGGTAATGCTGGTAATGAGTTGAATAATATTTAATATAATATCTAATATTTCATGAAAGTTTATGAAAAATTGGTGCCTTTTTAAAGAGAGAGAGTCTTGCTGTGTTGCTCAGGCTGGTCTTGAACTCCTGGGCTCAAGCAATCCTTCCACCTCAGCTTCCCAAATAGCTGAGACTATAGGCTTGCACTGCTGTGTGTGGCTAGGGTCAGTTTGTTAAATGAATTCACTGGTGAAACCATCTAGGCCTGGGCTTTTCTTTGAGAGAAGTTTAAAGTTACTGATACAATCACTTGTTCTAGTTCTACTCATATTTTCTATACTTCGTGAGTCAGTTCTGGTAGTTTGTATCTTTCTGGGAATTTGTTTAGTCTAGGGTGTCTAACTGGCTGGTGCCCAGTTATTCACAGTATTCCCATATTATCTTTTTTCTTTCTTTGTGATGTTCCCTCTTTCATTCATTCCTCATTATTGTGGCTGTGGTTCTTTTTTTTGAGATGGAGTCTCGCTCTGTTACCCAGGCTGGAGTGCAATGGTGCCATCTTGGCTCACCACAACCTCCGCCTCCTGGGTTCAAGCAATTCTTCTGCCTTTTGCCTTTTTGGGAATGTGCGCCTTTCGTTTTTTGGGAAGGTTGAGGTGGGAGGATCTAACTCTTTGATCAGATGGTAGAAGGTTGCAGTGAGCCAAGATTGTGCCTGTGCAGTTCCAACTTGCGGTGACCAGCAGCAAAAAAAAATGAAAAAGTTTAACTGTAAGTAGCTGAACACACTATTAGATTTTTTAATAGCTGTATCTAAGGATGTTAACATTACCATAAATTGAGCACATATTTAAAGTATACAACTTGATAAGCTTGATATGTATATATACCTATGATTATCTATCACAAATCAATAAAGGAATATATCACCGACTCAAAACATTTGTAATCCTTTCTTTCCCATCCCCATCACCCTAGGCAAACTGCTCGATCTGCTTCTGTCACGATAAGGTTGTTTGTATTATATGGGCTTATAATAAAATGGAGGCCATACAGTACATGTCTTGGATTTACGGTTTGGTTTTGGTTTGACTGCTTTCACTCAGCATGATTATTTTGTGATTCATCTGTGATTGTGGCATGTATCAATAGTTCATTCCTTTTTCATTGAGCAGATAATCTATTGTATAGGTTGCACCATTTGTTATATCTTTATTGTTATCGCATATTGTGTTATTTTCAGTTTTGGAATATTACAAGTAGAGTAGAACTAATGAACATGCACGTACAAGTCTCACTGTATATATGATGCTTTACGTCCAGACGGGGAATCACATACTTAGGGTGGAGGAACGGAGTAGATCATAAAGTACGTAGACATGTCAACTTTTAATAAATGGCCAAACTTTTCAAGGGTGGTTATATGTATGACCAAATTTTTGGCTTTGCAGGGCTGTAGTGCTTTGAGAGTTAAGCGTTTCATATCCTCGACCAACACTCATGGTCGTCTTTTAATTGTACATTCATATAGATATCACACCTAGAATCTCACTTGTTTTAATTATCATTTCCTTAATGACTAAATGATTTTGAGGCATCTTTCATGGCTTATATTTGCCAATAATCTTTGCCCAGTTTTTATTTGAGTTGGATTGTTTCTTCTTACTATTCTTACTGAGTTTTGAGCAGCCTGTGATATATTTTGGCTTGGATGAAGTCCTTATCAGATATATGTTTTGCAAATACTTTCTTACGCCAGTTTGTGGATTCAGTGTTTATATTACCTATTCAATTATCTTTGCAAAGCGAGCAGAAGTATTAGAACTACGTGTTTGTCCATTCTTGCATCTACTTATGGATTATGCTTTTAGTGTTAATCTAAGAACACTTAGCCCCCAACTCCCCACAAAGAGTTTTTCCCCATACATATTCTTTTGAAAAGTTTCATATAGTTTTCTAGGTTTTATATTCAGGTCTGATGATCTACCTTTGAAATGTTTGCTCTTAGTGTGGGTGTGAAGCTATGGAATTGAAGTTAAATTTTTTTTTTTTTGCCCATGTGACCATCAGTTTAAGCCAAGCTTTAACAATTACAATCAGAAATCTACTTGTCACATTTTGCACATTACATAATTGCGTCTCTGTATACCACATTCCTTTTAAAGGAGTAAAAATTTATTTTGAAAATGTTTTCCTGATTAATTTGGGGTTTAAAAACTGTTTTTTACTGGGGTGCAAAGTGGAAGGTGTTCTTCACGTTTCTGCAGCAGCTATGGACTGGACTAGGTTGCTATCTTGCCTTTCTGGCTCTAAAAAGGGGTCTTCCATCATCCAGCCAAGATGAGTGAGCCCATCACTCCAACTTCAGGGGGTCCATTACCATCAGTGGTCACCCATGTTCCATCAGCCAGTTCTTTACGCCAAACACATAGATAATCAGAAGGATCATAGACATTCAAAGTGGTTTTTAATTTAAGCTAACGTGTTAGAGCTTTATTTGTTAAAGCAGTCAAATTAGCATAGTCAAATATTTATTTAAATTAAGACGTTTTTAAGTATTCAGTTTTTAACTATTGTTACAACTAATGTTCAGCTTAAGAAGCCAAACTAATTGGGTGGTCCCTTTTCTCTCCTCTTTATTGAAAACCCTGGCGAAATAAAATGAACTCCTAATTTTTCAGTTCCCTAAAAAAAATGAAAAGTCAAAGTGTGGAAAGATGGGTCCTATTAAAGTTTTTTTTTTTTTTGTTGTTGTTAATGTGCAACCACATTCTTTCTTGTCATCATACTAACATAAAGTTCTCAACTTGTAGGAATTTTGGAAAAAAATAGCAAAAAGAGATATTTTAATGACCTGTAAGTAATTCGTAACTACCCAGGAGGACCTTATTAATGCTTCTTAAAACTCCTTCTTTGGGTTCTTTATTTTTTCTATACTAAATATCGGGGAATACCCCCGGGTTATCACGCCACCTCGCCCGGCTAGTTTTTTTGTATTTTTTTTTAGTAGAGAGGGGGTTTCACGCTGTTAGCCCAGGATGGTCTCGATCTCCTGACCTCCGTGATCCGGCCCGTCTCGGCCTCCCAAAGTGCCTGGGATTACAGGCTTGAGCACCCGGCCCGACCCGTGAAATTTCTTTACGCATTCTGGCCACAGGCACGGTGGGCTCACGCCCTGTAATCCCAACACTCTGGGCAGGCCGAGGCAGGCACGATCACTTGACGTTGGGAGTTTGAGACCATCCGGCAACAATGTTCGAGAACCCCCTCCTCTACTAAAAATAATAAAAACAAAACAAAAACAAACAAAAATTAGCCGGGAGAGTCTGTTACAGGTGGCACACGCGCTGTAGTCCCTAGCTACTCAGGAGGCAGGAGAATCACTTGATATCCTGTGGTATGACGGAGGTTCCACCGATCCGAAGATTGATGCCACTGCACTCCCGCCTGGGTGACAAAAGTGAGACTCTGTCTCAAGAAAAAAAAAAAAAAGACCAAAAGAAATTTCCTTAAGCATTCTTCCAGAAGGACTGTCACCTGCTGGTCTCTCCCTTCTGTTTTTCCCTCCTTTTTTCTCACATAAACATTTTTTTTCACCCTTGTCCATTTATTGAGCCCCCTCCTGCTTGGGGATGTGCGCTCATGCCTGGAAGGCACTTCTCAGGGCCATATGCTTCCGCTCGGCGGGCGCCTCCCTTCTCAAGCAGCACAA